TAAATTTTAGTATTAAGGCAAATAAATTCTGTTTCTGATTTCAGGGAGAYGAGTGTGATATTTCCCAAAAATACATTTATTAAACACTTGTAAACACAATCAAAAACGTACATTTTTGTCATGTTTAAAATACAAAGTGTTTTTGTGTTTCAAATTGTACATATACAGTATTTGTTTGATCATACCTATAAATATTATTACTATATTGACAAGTTGAGTACTAAATCCATTTTTAGTATAATTGAGAAACTCTGAAGCTGTAGTATTTTGACCAATGGGGACCACATCGACACATTTTAAAAAACAAACAAACAAAAAACAAAAAAACCAAAAACGAATTTAATCTTAAAATTAGCAACAAGCAAAACCTACAAAGAAGTGACAAAAACAAAACCCTTCAGTCTTTTTCCTCATCACAATAATGACTTTGCTTTTGGCGTTACTTAGTCACAATGTTGTATTTTCTTTCTCAGTAAAACATCTTCAAAACACTTCTGATATGTAATTAAGTGGTCCAATTAAAACATTGACATTGCATTTTCCAGCTGCAACTTCATATCCTATCATTTGGGGGCAGCACGTCTTCGTTTTCTGCTCAGTTTAAATCCGTAGAAGAAGAAGAAAAAGCGGAAGCGGTAGATAAATCGTGGCGCGGGAAACTCAAGCAGATACAATGATGGAAGTCGGCGAAGCAGCGCAGGACGAGACGGATTSTTCCTTTCCGTCGTCTTTAAAACTGTACGAAACGCAGTTTTTCGGCTTCACCCCGCAGACCTGCATGTTACGAATCCGAGGCGCCTTCAAGGACAGCCTGTGCGACATTCTACCCGTGGTGGAGAAGGTGTGTGTGCGGCAGTTGAGTAAGGGCCAGTCGGACATGACCGAGGAGCAGCTCCAGTCCCGGGCCAGAGACTGTAGCCGGAGGCTGCAGCAGTTCATGGAGGAGCGCTTCAAGCGGCTGTCGGAGTGGATGGAGGAGCTGCTGATGAACCGGTGCTTCACCGTGCCACCAAATGTCCTGCTGCCCGACGACCTGYCACACAAGAAATACCCCCAGGACATAGAGGTGAGTCAAAAAATTATTATCACATGTTTGTGAATTTCATTTTAGAAATGTTCACAAATACATGTCTCTATCTAATCTGTATAGTTCTTGTACTTTTCACCCAACATGCATGGTAAAAAATATATTAACAAAAGMCTAAAGTGACAAAGCAGTTGTTTGAGGTGGGTCATCAAGGTGGGTTCTTCAAAAATAATTCAGAATTGATTACATTTAAAAATGGCAATTTTGTGTTTGCCTCAGTTAACAAATTTGCTTAATGACTTAGAAATGGATGAAAGTCATATTATTATTATTATGCCCTTTTTTATTTGACCTGATTTCAATGTCTGTCAACCCAACATAACTGGGACCACAGGTCTCTGCTAAATTTTGCTGAAAAGTTTGGGAACMATGAAGACCAAAACACACACAGACACTAAAGCTGAATCCTTTTTCTCAGTGCTACTAGGGGTGCATAACAATGCATCAACCTACATCAATCAAATGATTTACATCAAGGCAAAATGAATAAAAAAATCAATCCTTATTGTCATCATATGCACCATGTGGATCCATATCAGATGACCGTCTATCACAATCATGTTAGATGATGGGCATTTATATCACATATCGATTGCAGACTTGTGAATTGAAACTGCATCATGATGACTGACTGTTACATCAACAAACATCGTATTTTGATCCAAACAAATCTATAATGTTGTATTATCATAAAACTGCTGATTTACACCCCTGCCCCTATCCAATGACCCCAAATTCAAAATCACAAGGGTTAAAAACTAAAATACTCCCCTATGAACAAGAGATCCCTTTAAGAAGCCAATGACCCTTCATTTGTCACCACTACGTCTTTGTACAAACCTCGGCTCATCTGAAAAGATGATCAGAAACATAGAAATAATAGTGACTCAAGACTTTCAGTAATAAATGTTTGGACTGATGCTAAAGACTTTAACTTTAGTTTTAGTTTTTTTTCCCCCTGCTCCTCAGTAGGTCTTCAAGTTCTGCAATAATCTGTTAATCATTCATTCAGTCAAATCAGGTGTGTTAAAACAGAGAAACATCAAGTGATCTTCAGCCCTGTTCTCAGTGTTTCCCAAAGTTGGGGTCAGGACCCAAAGTGGGGTCCTGAAACATCAAGGTGGGGTCCTGAAAAGATTTTCTGAATTAATTATATTTTTGGCTTAGTTGTTACAAAGGAGTGAGGTTAGTATATTTAAAATGGATAAATGTAGTATAAAAATATTGTTACTATGCCCATGTTTAGTTGACCTGATACAAATGTTTACCATCCAAAAATAATTGGGGGCACAGGTCGCTGTCACTGTTATTTTGTGGGTCAAAAGCTGAAAAGTTTGGGAACCACTGCACTTTGGTTCCCAAAGTTGGGCTTCGGACCCAATTATGGGTCATGAAGCACCTTGGATAATCTCCAGAAATCAATTTAAAGGGTAATAAAATAATTGCTGATGTAATATTTTCCCTATAATTATTACAAAAACACAAAATAAGTATGAATAAGTATTTATATTTGTGTACAAGCTGTTTAGATTGTCAAAAAGCCTGTGTTTTTAGGGTTATTAACAAAGTTCGTGTACTCAGACCAGTAATATTTGGGGTCACAAGTTTTTGCCMTGRATATTTTGTGGGTCAGAATATAAAAGGTTTGGGAACCACTGGTTTAGATGTTTACTTGCTTCAACACACCTGACTGAAATAAATGAATGAGTGATTGACAGGCTTCTGTTAAACTTGTTGAAGCAGAGAAGGAGCTAACACATGCAGGAAGGTGGCCCTCGAGGATCAGAACTGAGCACCGCCRTCATAAAACCTCTGTCTTTTGGTCCTGTTCTACCAGAAAGTGCTGAAGCTTGAGTCGTCCAAAGCGGACCTCCTCAAAGCCTACGAGGCCGAGGTTTGTGCCAGACAGGCTCTGCTGGCTGAGCTGGAGGAGCAGAAGGAGGTGCAGAAGCAGCTGGACGAGATCCTGACGTGGGTCGCGGACCTCCAGGCAGCCTGGGTGAAGGAGGGCAACGGCAACTTTCAGGAAAGTTTCCAGTTGGTGATGAAGTCTGTGAAGAAACTGCAGGAGGCTGTCAGGGAGGTTCTGGTCTGCAGCAAACCACTCGGCTGAACTGTGTGGGGTTCACGTAATTAAACAGATTTATGTATTACTGTGAGCTCAGTCGCTGAGTTTACTTTTCTATTACTGAAACCCGTTCAGTTTCAGAGGTCTCCACCAGAGGGCGCTGTCTGCTTGTTGTGACTCCACTGAGCAGTGCAGGGTTGGAGAAAAATACATCAAAAGTCACTAATTATATTTTCCAGCTTTTGTTTTCAGACTTGAATGTGGTTCAGGGTTAAAACAGGACACTTACTTATTTTTGACTTTCAAAACATAAAACATGTTTATCTGTGATTAAATCAATTACTGTCACTTTAACTCATAAACCTGTAAATAAAATAAAAAAATAAACATTTACCAAAAGCTGGTTTGTGTTTCTCCAACTCTGAACTTTTGAACACATTTTCTGTCAGATTTAATTACATTAAATTGTACATAATATTTGATTACTGAGTTTGTTATAACGAACAGCTGTTGTATCCCATAAATGTTTTCTATTTTTAACAATAAAATCTTTWACTCTGAATTAAAAACGTTTTGTTTATTTTTAATTTTGACAAATTAGGAAAGTAAAAGCTTTTTTTAGTTTGAAATTTCTTGTATAACTAATATATTAGTGTTTTTATGGTTTGTCCTTTTTATTGGATGTTCATGTTTTGYTGCCTGTAGAGGGCAGAAGGAATATTGTATTTTACTGTGTCTCAGTTTGAATGAATTTGTAGCAGACTAAGTGTAATGATTRTGGAACCACATCCTCAAATTTGTGGGAAACTTGTAAATAAAAAAGCTGTTTAAATTTGCACTTTTAAAAAAAGAGCACAAATTGTAGATTAATCAAAATTCGATGTCTATTAGTTAAAAAGATACATTTACAATTCTGAGTACAGTGGTTAAAAT